CCCTCTTTAGGGGTACTTTTATTTCGTTGATGTTTGATTGCTTCTTCTAATAACGGTTTGTTATCTTCTGGATTTACATTCATATTCATATTCACATTCATATTCATATTCATACTTGTTGTTCCTTCGTTCCCTTCTCCTCTTTCATCGACATTTAATAATTCTGCAAAATATTTCGCTCATCTTTTCAGGACCTCTTCATCTGTCATGATCAGCCTTCCTTTTTTGTCCTTACATGAGCTTGTTCTTGGTTGGAATCCTTTTGCCATTTGTTTAGTTGCTTGATATAATTTTTTGTTTTCATTTTGTGTGTTTAGTTTCTCTATTTTCTCAATACATCTTTTTAAGTATGCTTTTTTCTTCTCTCACAGAGTCTTGTTTGCTTGTCTTCTACTTTCCTTATATCTTTCAGAGCTCTGTCTTGTCTCTCTTTGAATCATGCTTAGTTTGTCTGTATTTTTCTTGTCAATCCTTGCTCTGCATTCGTCATCGAATCATTCTTCATTTTTCACTCTTTTTTTCTCCTCCACTGCTTCTATTGCAGTTTCCTCTATAACCTTCTCAATTTGGTTCAACTTTTTTATCTACTGTTTCGTTCTCTGATATGTCCTCCTAATCTTCATTCAATTTTCTATTCATTGATATTGGTTAAGGACCTCTAGTTGTCGTAAGTTTTCTACGTTCCAATGTGTTTTCTGGGCCTTTGGGCACATTCTGCTCTCGCCATCCTTTCTTTAAATTTAGCTCTCACTACGTAATGGTCTGAATCGCAGTTTGATCCTCTTGCACATCCTACATCGATAATCAACGATGCCTGTCTTCTAGATATTAATCACTCCAGTACCCGGCATTTTTCATGTTCCTTTATATGTTTTTTTTTTTTCTGAAAACAGGTGCTTTTAATTATCAACTCATTAATTTCTGCTAATTGACTTAGCATCTTGCTGTTTGTGTTTGTGTTAGCGTGTAAGGAATGCTTGCCGGCTACATGTTGCAAAAAATCTTCTCTACATATTTTTGCATTGAAATCTCCAAGGAGAATCAACATATCGTATCTAGGTATCTTACTACGTTCTCTATCAAGTCTATCATAAAATGTAATATTTTCATCATCACTAGCCTCTTCTGTAGGTGCATAGGTCGATATAATAGATACATTCCTGAAACGACCTTTTAGCATTATTTTACATCCTATCTCCCAGTGATTCAAATCCCAGTTAACTTTGTTTCATTTTAGAGTTAATAATAAAACTCGTTCCACATTGCCCAGTTCTTGTATCTGGTCCACTGTAAAATATGGAGTATTTCCTTTTGTTTATTCTTCCGTTACCACTCCATCTCATTTCTTGCAATGCCACAACATCCATTCTATATTTCGGCACTTCTTGGGCAACTTCTGCCATTTTTCCTACCTGTAACACAATCCTTACATTCCACGTGGCCAGGTTCAGTGTTGTTTCCCGTTTGCGGGTCCTTGAATTTCTGTCATGTCCATCATCATCAAAACTGTCATTCTGAGGCTTTCTTGAGGGTTTCGTAACAAAAATTTTTTCCAGGATGGGGTTGTTAGCCCCACGCCCAACCTCCAACCTGAAGGGCCACTTCCCTTCTCTTTTGTTCTCTCGTACTCCCCAGGGAGTTATTCCCTGACTCGAGAGTTAACAACACTACCGCTGTATCGTGAAGGCGAGAAGAATAGAGTAAGAGAGGTAAGAGGTGTCATTTCCAAGGATCTACCATTCGGTGCACTTCCACTACTCCATATAGTGCCATATTATATCTATAACTGAGATTATTAATGGGATTATAACTTATTTTTGTTACTATTACTTATTTTTATTTCTATATTTGTTCTATTTCTGTTTATTATAAAATAATTATCCAATTTCATAGTATTTTATTATTTAATAACTTCTTTCTGTGAATTATTATAACTTTAAAGTTTATTTTTAACTATATAAAAAATTTAACAATTACGAACTTGTATTATAAAAAATTTATGGTTTTCTGCGAAAATTTATGATAAACATATTGTGCTGAGACATACCATTACCACCGTGTACGAGTAAAATATATATACAGAGTGTCCCATAATTCCCATACCACTCGTAACGTTCAGGTAGAGCAAGTTAAATCGAGAAAAGTCATCCGTTCTGCTATTTTCGCAATAATTAACGAAAAATTAATTTTAAAAGATTGGCGAATCCGTGCGAGTAGAAGTGCGCAGCGAGAAGAGACCTTCTGCTATATTCTGATACAAGGTATTTTTAAAATTAATTTTTTGTTAATTATTAAAAATAGCAAAACGAGATGACTTTTCTAGATTTAATCTGAACGTTACGAGTAGTATGCGAATTTTGAGACACTGTTTATATAATTTTTCTTTTTTTCAAAGAAAATGTCCGAACAAAAATTGTACGCAGTTGTGTAATTCTTAGTTGATGAATCCTTCTCAGAGATTCCAACAAATTGGATTCATCAAAATGATGAAAATAATGGCTTCATTTGTTGGTGGCCTAACACAAAAAATATCAGTTTGCTTATTGAAAATCGAGCTGAATCAGATAAGAAGTTATGGTCAATATTTGACATAACAGTAATAAAATATTGTTGTAAGTTATAGATTTATAAACTTTATATTTTAATTCCAATATTTTCATTATTTTATTTAATCTCTTAACGTGTAAATGCAAATTATTTATATTATATGTCAAATATTAACATTATTATGATTACTATTACGGATGTTATTATTATTTGGGTAGCGTCACTTGCATCGGCGCGAAAATCAGCTGCAGATGCTCATTATACTACGACTGACGATGAAAAATGTGACCGAGGGCAAAGAAAGTTAAAGAAAAATGAATACTATTTTTCTCAGGAGCACGATGAAAAGGATTATACTGATGATTCGAATGATGAAGAAAGAAATGTATGTGATAAAGAAAATTACGATAATGAAAAAAATACATAAAAAAAACAATTAAATACTTGAAACATAGTAAATTTTGACATTTACTGAATTTGAAATTTATATAATATACTGAATATTTGAGATGCTTAGTTAATTTTTGTTATTTTTCTTATTGTTATTTTACTTTGTTTGCAGGTATTAGTCGTCCGCCTGTTTTTATTAATCCTATGCCTGAATACAATTCTCAGAAAATAGATAATTGCTGCTGTTATAGTCCAAAAGACTATAACTTATTATTTCATTTATAATATTAATAGAATATTCGCGAACCGCGCAAAACCGCTATCTCAGCGAACCACGCGTAAGAACGTTCGCCGAAAACGCGAAAACGCTAACGAAGGGATTCGACTTTGAACCTCCTTCGCTTGCACTTGGACTTTGGACGCCACGAAGAACCTCCATGACCTCTATACATGGTCATGTCGCTAGGCGATCCCCTCCAAAACACCCCCAAAACCGAGGGAATAAAAGCCGTCCACTGCGAATCCACGGTGGACAGTCGTTAATCACAAAACAATCGTTAATAGTGCGAAACCGAGGGCTAACAGCTACACTGCGTGACGAAGCAATCGACGAAATTGCTAAACATTCTAAAAGATAAGAACGAAGCGATTCAGGAAAGGATGACGAAGAGAGGGCTCGAAAGAAACTGATTAATATACAATTATTAAAAATAATAATATATTTAGGAGAAAGATTGTATATAAGAAATAAAGATTTTAAAAACGGCAACTAACGATCCCGTAGTCTATTCGATTCTCCCGGCTACCCCACACCCCGTGCCGCGCCAGGCACAACACTGCCAATCTGTCAATGCTTTCAGTACCGATAAAAATTTAAATTTTGTTTTCAAAAATACCGATACTGAGATTGCATCATCACACACAAGTAAGTTTATACCTTACAACTTCAATAATATGGTATAAGTGTAGAAACATATTAAAACAGACAATTGTAATTTGCAGATATCAACAAATGTAGTTCTAATGAAAGAGCAAAAAACTCCATATCCTGAAGTCTTCATCATCCCTTACAATGGATATTGACAGTATTCCTATTTTAGAAATTCCAGAAAAGTACAAGATGTTTACAATATTCTACAACGGATAGGAAGTAAATTATTTACCTATATTATATGCATAAAGTTTTGAATAAATGTTTAGCTTTGTGTGTGTGTGTGTGTGTGTGTGTGTGTGTGTGTGTGTGTGTGCGCGCACGCGCGCGTGTCAACTATAAATAATGTTTGCATAATTATATATAAAAATATATGTATACGTGCTATATGTTTCTTTTTAATTGCAGCAGGTTTAGATAAAGTTATACGTGCAAACGTTACCAATTTAGAGCTAATGTATCTCGAAAAGATTAAGTAAATTGGAATCCCATCAATGTGTTATAGCCTCGCAGACTATAACCTATTTAAATATTAGTACCTATATATAATTAAATTAAGTGTCAGCATGAAATATTGTTGAGAAATGCGGCAGCCTGATAGAATCGCTGCCTCAGCAATTCAAGCGTAAGAACGTTCACCCGGAAGCGCGAAAACGCTAACGAAGGAATTCAACTTTGAACTTCCTTCGTTAGCACTTGGACGACCCGGAAAAACCTCCATGACCATACATGGTCATGTCGCCGGGCGATCCCCTCCAAAAATCCCCGAAATTAAGGGAATAAAAGCCGTCCACCGCGGATCCGCAGCGGACAGTCATAAACGGTGAATCTATAGTCAAAGTAGTGCGCGAAGACTAATCATTAAATTGTGCAACGAGAACAACCGTTGATAAGACATAGTGCGAATCCGAGGGCTAGCCGCCAAACCGAGCTACGAAGCCCCCGACATAATAACTAACCACGAAAGGATCCAGGAAAGGACGACATTAAGGCTTGAGAAAACCGACTAAAGATAAGGGATAAATAAGTATATTCTGTGTAATAAATTTCTATTGTTAAACAATTGGAGCGATTATTTTCCTCTCCCGGCTACCCCACACCCTGTGCCGCGCCGGGCACAACAAATGTAATAATGCAGAATTGATAGAAAATGATATGGTAATGATAATACCATTATTGCCACTACAAACAGTGGAATCCATAAAAGAATTCGAAAATTTAATCATATCAAACGAAATTGCTGCATCGCAATTTGTAAGTTATTTTTTATTTGCAACTATTTCCAAATTTGTATGGAGATCTATATTATTGATATTAAAATGAAATAAATAGTCTATCATTTACTTCATTTTTATACAAAAAAGTTCCATATAGAAAAATGAATACAGATTGAGTTATAGAATCATTAAATTTTTTGCAGTGAATGCAGTTATGGAATAAGAATCGGTTTACTTTTTGAGAAAAATGAAGAAAAGGATTTAAAGAGAAGTAATTTACATTCTTTTTCTATATAGAACTTTCATTTTTTATATAGAACCATTCTTATAATCTTTCAGACACTTTATACACTTTTCAATATCAAACTACTTCCTTCTGAATTTAATATAGTTGATATGATATTGTCTTTATTGTTTATTATTTACATAAACGTATTGTTAATTTCAGAAAAAATTGATTCTAAAAATTGGAAGCAACACTCCACGAAATAGCATTCATCGTGCTTTAGAACGAATTATCAGCAATAAATGCGCTATGAACTGTTCCTGGAAAGGCGTTCGATTAAATTATAAAATATGTAGTTTAACATTTATTAAGAATATATGTGGTAAATATTTTAAAATTATATTTAACTATTTTCTTAAATTCTGGGTTTTTAGATTACACAAACGTACATTTTTTTTATTCTAATAGATACTATTTAATTATTAAAGTGATTTTTCTTTTATATACGCGCACATACATTAATATTGTTAATTAAATTTTAACTTATTTTACAGATACCATATGCTCTGTACATTCAGATTTAACTGAAGCTGAATTTGACATAATCGCTGCGGAATGGTTCCGATTTGCTAAGCAACGAGCAACGCGGGAAGAAAAAAAAATAATCTGTAATAATCCGTATATCTACAGATTATTACAATACATGGTGCTATTTATAATTTTATGTTAGGTTATTCAAGCACAGATCCAGTTTTTGTTTTCTTAGATAGCCTTAATTATTTTAAAAATTTGATAAAAAATTGTCATTTTTGGTTATTATTTTTATACTTGAAGGTACTTTTTGTTACTGTTTCTGTCAAAAAGCAGTCACTATTTTATTTTTTTTTTTGGTCTGATGACTGGATGGCAGCGCTGTGTTTCTGATGCTTTCCAGCAAGCTCCTCCTTAACAAGTGCACAATAAAGTGTTCAGGGACACCCTGTATATATATATATATATATATATATATATATACATATATATATACATATATATACATATATATATATACATACATACATATATATTATATATAGTTAATATATATTTATATATAGAAAGTTTATATATGTATGTTACATTTATTCACAAATTTTATTTATATATTTATATATATGTATATATAATTATCATTTTTGTGATATTATGTTTTTGTGGACACATTAGGGTACACACATAAAATTGTTTTCATCATAATTATAATAATAAGAATAATATAACGTATTTAAAAGTTTTTTTTGTGAATAATATAACATATTTAAAAGTTTTATTTTGTCTACGAAAATTATAAATCCAAATATAATTTACAATCTATATTTTATCTATACAATCTTTTACTATAATTACTTTTCAAGCTTCGAAAATAATAAAAGATGTAAAAGATTTTATATTTTAAGATATGTATTAAATTAAATTAATATATATTAAGTTTAATATATAGACCAATTAAATCATTTATTTATAATATTTTTAATATGTGTGCATCATTTTGTATAGTATCAAAATTTGAAAAGTAATTATAATAAAACATTGTTATATGTTTTAATGTATATATGCGCGTGTGTATGTGCGCGCACACACATACATATACATATATATATCACACATCTCAAGAAGAAAAAATTGTAATAACTCAACAACTTTTTAAATTTCTTTTGTTGTATAGAATATGAACGCAAACATAGTGCACGATGTCAACATAACTTTCTTATAAAATTTACATTCTTTGAAACATACACAGAGAAGCTACATTGATATCGTGCAATATGTTTTCACATTCAGATTCTACAACAAAAGAAATTTATATAAAATTGTTGAGTTATTACGGTTTTTTTTCTTGAGAGATATGTGATATGTATGTGTGTGTGTGTGTGTGTGTGTGTGTGTGTACATTTAATTGTAACAATTATATAAATTCATACATTAAAAACATAACTGTAACAAAATTAATATATAACATAATATTGCTACTAATTTGATATTTATATGGCTGTTATATAAATATTACACGTATATTCAAAAACATTTGAAAATTATGATATAACATTTATATAATAATTATATAAATGTCAAACCAATAGCAATAATATTATATCTTAATTTTATTACAGTTATATTCTTAATGTAACAATAATATTACATTATATAACTGTTACAATTAAATATATAACTATTATATAACACTGCTGCTTCCTTGAGTGGGAAATTACAAGGAATGAGAGTATTACATGTTATAATCCTGTAATATTACTTGTTACATTCGATTACACTGATTTATGTAACCGTTATAATACAGTTATAAAATGTGTTTGCTGGGCATATAATTAATTATAAATTTATTTACCTATGTCATTGCTGCTATTAATGCTCCCCTCTAATTTATTTATATTTCTTCTGATTCTGTTTTTTTCTGTTCGGATTTACTATCCAATGAAGATTCATTACTAGAATCTTGTACATTTCCTTGTACGGCTTCCAGATATTGTGAGATTTTTAATATATCTCTAGATGCTAAGGGTTGTCTGTAATGATCTCTATGAATTTTCTCGGCACGTCCCATGAATGTAGCAAGATCCGAGATGTCTACATCATTGAGATTCTTTTGAATGCAATAAGTTGCGATATGTTTTCGCAACGTTGTACCTCTCAAGGTATGGAATGCATTGCATTACATTCATTTGCAAACTTGCGCAATAAAACGCAAGCTCTAAGATATCTATATCTCTTTTTCGTAAGCCCAAGCAATCCAAAAACATATGGATTGTTTTTTGACACTTTAGCTTCTTCTCGAAATTTTAAAATAAGTGTGATACATTCAAATAAATCGCTCAACAGTAAAACAGGCACACTACGTCCTAATTTGCCTCTAATACAAAAACAAACATATTTTTGTGCAATTTTTTTATTTTCTTCTGATAAAGAATTAAAAATATCGCTTTTCATATTACTATTAACTGTCTCGTAATTTTTGAAATCTTCTATCAGTATCCTTTCAATTTCTCCAGACCGTCGTCTGTTAAATATATGCACTAAGGTCAGTGCTATCTCTGCTAATAAGATCCAATCGTTATACGAAAAACCTTGCTTTAAAGCAATATAAGCTTCGGTTCTTTTCTTTTTCAAGTATGTGTGTAATGATTGGATATCTGCTATTGATGGCAGAATTACTTTCTTATGCCTTTTATAAGCCGACTGTGTTTCTATAACAGTTTTGTTTATACTTGTCTCAATATCGACAACTAGTAATTTCAAAAAATCTTTAACTAGTTTCTTTTTTTCTACATTTTCTTTTTTTATATATTCTGTAATGAGGATATTCTCTATATGTTTTATTAAAGTTGATAAGTTAGCTGCTACTGCGGGAGCTCTATAAGTTTTATCTTTTTCATTATATCCCGCAACATCATTAATCGCAACGATGCAATCATCGTACATTTTAGATTGATAGAGCGATGCGAAATCTTCCACATTTTTATTTACTTTTTTTAATGATATAAAAAAGCGGCCAAGAACACGCAACCGGGCACATGTCGTGCTGATGTTAAAACTTATATTTAATGCAAAGCTTGTTTGCATATATTATTAATAATTCGTCGTATCTTATTATGCGTGTTATCTCATCTTCTCACATTACAGGGAATACTATTTTTCTTAAAGTTTCATTCACTGAATGATGTATCCTACCAAGGATTTTTCTGCCCATAACCATAATGCTCCTATTCTTTTCAAAATTGTTTTTGAGACATTTTCGAGAATGATGCCTTATTGTATTTTTTGCAAAAAAGCCCTTATATTTTATGCAAACTGTAAAATCTGTAGTAGTCTTCTTAAATGTTGCATTAGAACGTCTACATACAACGAGTTATCCATTATTCAATTCGGATGTTGTATTGTATTTAAAATTCCCGTTTTTTCTTATCGTATCTATTATTTTTTTCCTATCGTATCTTTTTTTCTTTCCGGATTCTTTGTAGCAAACAAAATGGCAAACTTTTTCACTTCAAGTTCATTACTGTGTACTGTTTCTAGATGTCGAGCGAGTTGTGTTTGCGGTTTTATGCAGTAGAAACAATAATTACGTTTAAATTTTATATTAGATGTTTCAACATCCATTTTCATGTCATTGCACGCAGATGTGCCGACCAAATTTATTTGTGAGTTATCTAAACTTGAAATTGAAGAGTTGGTTTTATTATAAACTGATTTATGTTGTTGAGAAGATTTTTCATCATCCGAAATTTCTGAACTTTCATCTTCTGAAGGTATATATAATGAATCTTTATCACTATCTTCCACAACGCTACCAATATCTAAAATAAATATATAAAATCAGGAATAGATAACATTTACATTAGCTTAATAAAAATTTAGAGAAGTACAAAATAAAAAATGTAATTAGAAAAAATTTAAAAGAATTAAAGATTCTTTTTGAAGGCTTAAGACTGTTAAAAACGTCACAAACATATTAAATTACAACATCAAAAACAAATGGGAGGTTTTGATTGATCACCGACTGACAATTCAAAGATAGGACTTTTTAATTAATCAATCGTTACTAATAACTCTAAGCATCGGTAGACTGGTTGCTGTAATCAAACGAGGCGTTCTCAAAAACGAAGTTACAAAATTTTTTCATTACTTACACATATAATAAAATATTAATAAAATATATTTATATATATGTTAATATAATAAAGCAAAAAACCTTTTTGTACGTTATTTATTAACAAAAGATAACTAAGGAGTAGTTTTGCAACATTTTACTAATATATCTATAAGTAGTGAGACTATGTCAGTTCTAACCCAGATCCTCTCAGGGGGGGGGGTGAGGTGCGAGGGGAACCGCGGTGCGACCGATGGACGAGGGGGTCCGCGCAGTGAAGGGGGATCAGCGGCGCGACCGATGGACGAGGGGGTCCGCGAGGTGAAGGGGGATCCACGGCGCGAGCGATGGACGAGGGGGTTCGCGCAGTGAAGGGGGATCAGTAGAAAGAAGACGGTAGTGTGAGAAGGACAGCGCTACGTGGGAAAAGGATAGTGCTACGAGTGCGACAAGGATGGCGTCATCGTGGGACAAGGACGACGCATAGGTGAGAGAAGGACGACGCAAAGGTAAGTGAGCAACGAATATATGAAAGAGAGAGAGAACGATAATATTCTAAGACAATGCGTGCGAGAGAGAACGATAGCGCAACGTGTGAGAAAGAACAATAGCGCGAAGACGACGCGTGCGAGAGAGAACGATAATACCGCGAGACTTACAATTAGCGCGCGAAAGAGAGAACGATAGCGCGAAGACGACACGTGCGAGAGAAAACGATAATATCGAGAATAACAACGCGTGTGAGAGAGGCTTACAACTAGAGCAAGATAGACGCAAGGAGAGGCACATAAATAATTAGATTTTTTTTTATTTAACTCTGTACATTTTTGTGTCAGCGTGAGAGATTACTTATTTTAAGCGCGAAAAATGAAGATAGACTTACGATTAACGCACGAGAGAGAACGATATCACGATACTTACAACTAACGCGAGAGAGACGCAAGGATGGGAGCGCAAGGAGAGGCGCGTAAATAATTAGATTTTTTTTAAATTTAAAATATATAAAATTTATTAAAAATGTGTGTGTATGTGTATTATACATATTTGTGTGTGTGTGTATCTAATAATAATAATAAGAAGAATAAGAA